TATTGCTTCATAAGTGCATCCCATGCGACGCAAGGGTGAAAAGCTAGTTACGTAGTATAACAAAAGTACTTTAGATACGGTAACTATAAAGGTTATCAAATCTAGTCTTGTAGCTTGTGAACTATTACGGAGTATGTCACAATTTTAACATATTTTTCACATATCTTCAATTATTCAATATTGATGCCGTAAACGGTAAAAATTAACATTTTTTATATAAAACTACTATTCAAATCGGGGTTCTATCTTTAGCGTCAGTACGTTACTACTTTATTTAGAGTTTAGAATGCCAATTTCCAATAACTAAATTTTAATTGTCTACTTAAATTATTCATATTTACCACAAACGCATGCTTTTAATTTATTAAATATACATGTCTCAATTAATATATTAATTAGGTCTCTAACTGAAATTACAAACGCATACTTTAGCTAGGGCTGAGCAACCGCTTGAAATGGATTTCTTCTAAGTTTTTCCAACTTTTACTGATTTCGGAACAAAAATAGCTGGTATTTGTAATAAGGATATGTCTAAATTGCCAAAAAATCCGGTGGAACTAATTTTCTCGTTATTCGTTCATTTATAATTATTATGGGTATGAATGCATCTCTGGAATAATATTATAAGTATTACGTAGTACTTAATATAGTTATGTAAAATATTTGCTATCAGATTGATGAGTTGAAATATGTTACACTTCTAACATACTCCCTCCGTCCCGTTAGAAGGTTTCCACTTTCCCTTTTTGGACGTCCCGTTAGAAGGTTCTCATTTCTATTTTAGGAAACAATTAACAATCTTAAGTGACAAATTAGTCATTAAATATTAAAAATAATACATTTATAACATCATAGTCATCAATACTAACACAATATAATATATACCTATTAAAATTATTTCTCAAAATATATCTGAAGTACTTTATTTGATTATCACCTAAATAACCGTGTCATTTTGTTATGAGAATCTTCTAGCGGGACGGAGGTAGTATGAAATATGATAGAATATTATGTTACATGGCTGAAGTGAGAATGGGTCTGAGATCCGTGTTTCCTCCTCACCCGCTCATTTTTTGTGCTAGTATACAAATACTTATGGTCTAGAACTATTATTATGTCCTAATATAGATATTTGACTCTAGTATAATTATTCTAACATTTGATCCTTTACTTTTAAGATAAAAAATCTCTTGCTCTAACCTAGGGCGGTTAACGAATCGAACATTTATCGAATATTTGAGTTTGAGCTCAGTCGAGCTTTTGAACTCGGTTCGAGCTGAGTGTTAAACTCGAACATAGCAGTACTTAGCTTGGTCCGAGCTCGAGCCTATCGAACAACATAAAATTATAAATATAATTAATGTTTATGTCAAAATTTTAAATATGATTAATAACTCGGTTCGAGCTGAGTGTTAAACTCGAACATAGCAGTACTTAGCTTGGTCCGCCACTGCCGTTTGGTAGCATGAAAATCGGTTGATTTGGCTGATTCTGCTAAAATTTATGAAGTTCTGGCTGAAGTGGCTGATTCTGCTGATTTAAGAAAAAATTTATTTTAAAATATATCATATTAATAAAATAAAGAAAAAATTATATGTAAAAATAGCTAAAATGGTCATTTACAATAACTTCAGTCAATACAGCCAAAAAAGTAACTTCAACCTTACTTTTTGTGCTTATTACACAAAAATAAGTAATTGTAGATATTTACGTGCAGTGTTTCGTGAAAAGTTGACTGATGAGCCTGATAAGTCGAAAAACAGTTTTGACAAACGGCCTCTAAATAAAAAAGACACATAATTTTGACAATACATACTCCTTGCATACCAATTTAATTGAGCATCATTGACTTGAGACCATGAGTCGTTCTTCTTGCATATGTATCGTACCAACTTCTTGCATACCAATTTCACAGCACAATAATGGTCTTGACTTGCACTTTTTTTTTTTGGATGAAATGTAAATATATATTAACACCCAGAAAACTATACATCACATAAACTAGATCTCCTAACCCCCCTCCCCACACACACATAATGTGAGGGTGAAAGGAGTTTTTTTTTTGTTTGATCTACTCTATGCCAAAAAATCACCAAGTAGAGGTTCAAAAATACATCGGTGCTGCCAAAGCGCACACACAAATCATAAAATCAAAAACAGAATACAAAGGTGTTGCAAGATGCAAACACCCTAAAATCCAAGACCCTACTTAATGTCACAGTATCCACGATGCCCATGCCACAGTGACCAAAGCCGTCCAGGCCTCGGCATCCAATATATCCATGCCTCGGCATCCAAAAACACTCATGTAGCAGTCTGTCCAAACCGCGGCATCCATAATATCCATGCTACGGCCTTCAACTCAAAAGGTAATCAAGTCATGTGGGTATATATTGAAAAGTATTTTATATACCACATGCTTAATTTTTGCGATGACCTCATCTTCCTTGACGTCCCCTTCATCAAATCTGTTGGCATTCCTAGCGTGCCATAGGTAGTAAACCGCGGCGCAGAAGGCAATCCGGACAGCTTTCCCTTTGATCTTCGAGCCTTTATGGTCCTTTAAAATCCATTTGACCGAGCTGCTTAGAGTGGTCATCTCCCTTGTTAAGCCCAACCAATTCTTTATTTTTTCCCATACCCTACATGTGTAAGGACAAAGAAAAAATAGGTGTGGCATTGTTTCCAAGCCACTCTTGCAAAGGTCACACCGGTTAACCATATGCAAATAACCGAGTTTATCCTGTGTAGGTAACCGGTTACGCAAGGCAAGCCAAAAGTTAAATGAGAATTTGGGAGGAATATAAGACTTCCAAGCAAAACTCATCCAAGCTCGAACCGTCCCTTTAGTTCTCAATAATTCATAAATCTTTCCTGAGACTAGTTTCCCATTCACGGATCTAGCACTTAGACCCATTATGGTATCATTTAAATTGTTAAAACATCCCTTTATTTGGTCGCGGATGTGACTCAATTTCTTCATGAATATTGAGTCACGATTGTGTGGGATAAAATCCCACACACTCCTACCTTGAAGATAGACCCCATTGACCCACCTCACCCAAAGTGTATCCTTTTTCCTATGGACGTCCCAAAGTGTTCGAGAGAGAAGAGCATGGTTCCAAACCTTGGTATTATGGATGCCAAGACCCCCTTCCTCTTTTGGAAGACAAATGTCATCCCAAGCTACTTTGGAGAACTTCCCTCCCCATAAGAAAACTCTACATATAGAGACTATCCTATCCAAGATAGTTTGGGGGACCGGAAAGACTTGTAGCCAAAAAGATTGGACCCCTTGGATCACTGATCTAATCAACTCCAATTTCCCGGCATAGGATAAAGTCTTCGTATTCCAAGCTTTCAAGAAGTCCGAAATAGTAGTAATCAAAGGTGCATATTGGGCAACCGAAACCTTTAATGGAGCAAGTGGTATTCCAAGGTACCTTACCGGGAACGTCCCACGCCCAAAGTCCACAAGGGCCATAATCTCATCAAGATCTGTACCATTAACACCCCCCACAAAAATGTTAGATTTGTTATGGTTTACCCTTAGGCCTGATGCGTCCCCAAACTCCTTAAGGGCATTGACAAGTATTTCAATAGAATACGTGTCGCCCCGTGAGAAGAGTATAAGATCATCCGCATAGGCTAAATGGGTAATGCCTAGCTTAGCACATTGGGGGTGAAAATTGAAGTTCGGCCCTTTGGTTTTTAAATTAACCAATCGTGAAAAATATTCAAGACAAAGGACAAAAAGAAGCGGAGACATTGGATCTCCTTGGCGAATACCTCTTTTGCCCTTAAAATAACCATACAAACAACCATTCAAAGATACGGAAAATGAAGCCGTGGTTACGCACTCCATAATCCAACCAATAAATCTAGCAGGGAAGCCCAAACCCCTTAAAACCTCATCAAGAAACTCCCAAGAGATCGTATCGTATGCCTTTCGCAAATCCACCTTGATCATACATCTCGGTGAAATTCGCTTCCTCATGTATCCTCTAACAAGTTCTTGGGCAAGAAAAATGTTATCAAACATGAGGCGGCCATCAACAAAAGCACCTTGGGCTAGGTCAATCAAGCCGGGAAGGCAAGGAGAGAGTCTAGCCGCTAGGATTTTAGTAATAATTTTATACAAAACATTTGTACAAGAGATTGGTCTATAGTTCGAGACCTTCGGTGAGTGATTCGTTTTTGGGATAAGTGCAATAAGTGTGTGGTTAATTTGCTTAAGTAACTTACCCGAACGAAAGAACTCTTTGACGGCCTGGACTATGTCATTCCCAATAAAATCCCATTTAGACTTGAAAAACGCAGATGAATAACCATCTGGTCCCGGTGCCTTGTCATTGCCGATGTCAAATAGAGCATTTTTAATCTCGATTATCTCAACCGGGGCAAGAAGGCTGTCATGAACACATGGTTCAATCATAGGACCAGATCCCAAGACCGTGGGGTCTAGGGGGTGGCATTCGGCATTGGTACCAAACAAATCAACAAAAAAATTTACAAATTCACTCCCAACTTGTTCCAAAGAGGTGGTGAGGCTGCCATCCTCTAAAGTGATAGAGGATATGGCATTTCTCGTGGTCTTCTTTTTCACAATCGCATGAAAGTACCTAGTCCCTTTGTCCGCTTCTAGAATGTGAGTTGCCTTCGCCTTCTGTTGATAGAAAGTAGTTTCGGCCTCACTAAGGAACTTTGCCCTTTTCATAGCTTCCACCAACTGGTTTCGGGTATCCACATCCAACGGATTTTGGAGAGCTAGTTTGTGCAATCTTTTATAGTCCTCTTTCGCCCTCTTCGCTTTGCTTGAGATGTGGCCAAACTCTTTGGTATTTAGGTCTCTAAGTGGCCTTTTGAGCAACTTTAGGTTCCTTACCATAGAAAATTGCGCCGTGCCCTCAATGCTTTGGCTCCAATATTGCGCTACTAAATTATGAAGGTTGCGCTACTAAACTATCAATCAATCTTTAAAAAGAAACACTCCATATAGCTTCCAATATAGTTCTTACAGATGAAAATGTAAAGTTCGGGGGGATAAAAGTGAATAGTACGTGAAAGGTGGTGGGGATCCATTTTACAGCAGCTAAGCTAGCACACGATTTGGTGTGAGGCCTGCCAATAAACCTTACTAGGCTATTCAGGACTTCTGTCCCATGAAATATCACTTGCTGGTCATTCTCATAGTTACCCTCCCAGTAAAGAGTGTTTCTACTCCTCCATATACTCCATGCCATCATAGCAAAAGTACAGAGTTGTTCATTTGGTAAATTGGTGAAGACATCCACGAACAAATCGAAAAAACTTTCTCCCAGAGCATAGCCAACTCGAAGGTATTCTACATGCCTACTTTCTGCCAGCAAGTGACTATCCAGACTCACTAAAAAACATACCAATTGTTTTCCGGGCTTCAAAGACAGTTTATGCACATATTCAGGCAAGGAATACCTTTCTCCCTGAGATGACTCCTGTTCAGTACAGTCTTGACCGAGTCTCCACATCAATGTATGAATCTTTGGCGGTATTGATAGTGACCAAATCTTCCTCCATTCCCTATGCTTCTTACAAATACCAGCTATTTTTGTTCCGAAATCAGTAAAAGTTGGAAAAACTTAGAAGAAATCCATTTCAAGCGGTTGCTCAGCCCTAGCTAAAGTATGCGTTTGTAATTTCAGTTAGAGACCTAATTAATATATTAATTGAGACATGTATATTTAATAAATTAAAAGCATGCGTTTGTGGTAAATATGAATAATTTAAGTAGACAATTAAAATTTAGTTATTGGAAATTGGCATTCTAAACTCTAAATAAAGTAGTAACGTACTGACGCTAAAGATAGAACCCTGATTTGAATAGTAGTTTTATATAAAAAATGTTAATTTTTACCGTTTACGGCATCAATATTGAATAATTGAAGATATGTGAAAAATATGTTAAAATTGTGACATACTCCGTAATAGTTCACAAGCTACAAGACTAGATTTGATAACCTTTATAGTTACCGTATCTAAAGTACTTTTGTTATACTACGTAACTAGCTTTTCACCCTTGCGTCGCATGGGATGCACTTATGAAGCAATAAATTGTTTGGGAATAAATTGTTATACTGCAGTAGTGGCGGTCTTTTCTCTGGTGATAGCAGCAACGTTTCTTAGTTTCCATCCGTTCTATTTCCGGGGTGGAAATCAGTCCGGCGGCCTGGCTCCGGTCTTCCGGCGTTTGTTCTTTCTTTCCTCTCTCTTTTCCTCTCTTTCTATGGAGGCAGTAAATAATCGTGTTGTTCCGATTTCTTTTTGTTTTTGCTTTCTTTGTACGTCTGAGTATAGGGTGGATGTATTATGCATATATAGGAGTTCAGGAAGTTATGCTTTGATTTCAGCCGTATGGCTTTTTGATCAGTCAATTATTGTTTAAAGAAGATCGATACATTGCACCGGGGTTTTGATTAAAACTTATCTGATCATACCCATGTGAATTTGTATATGCCTAGCTAATCACAGTTTTGTACCTTTGGCCTCATCCGATCATGTCTATGTCCATGTACATTGATTTCCTTTGTATCCTTCTCCTATATTATTGCTATACATTATCACCTACTCATTTATTATATGCACCAGCACCACACTTATATTTGTATACTTCGTATTTTATTACTTACTCCGTATATGTAAATGGATAGGCGTAATCCTTGTGATGGTTTATTTTGAGCTTATCTACCGAGTATTATTATCAACTTAGAAAAGTCAACATTATTATTTTGTGTGGTATTTAGTACGTAATATATTTTTGTACACATATTAATCAATACTTTTGAACTAAAATTGCTAACATGCTTGTATTATTTATGTTATACGGATAGTTATCACTTATTACTTATAAAATGTCACTTTTGTTATTTAAGTCAAACTCTTATCTGAGCAATATAATTATTATTATAACATTTCTTTTTTTTTTTATTGTTGAAACATTTTTATTTGATTAAAAATGCCACCTATGTTGGAATTTCATCTGATTCACTTAATTATCATAATATGAATTTTGTAACATTTTATCTGACTAATAAAAATTATTTATTGTATTTAAATTTTTCGGGGTGTCACATTCTACCCTCCTTAAAAGATGCTTCGTCTCGAAGCATAAGCTAAGGAAATATCCACAATACAATTAGCACGTGTCACATGTTAGTTTTTTTTTTGAAGGAAAACGTGTTAGTTAAATTCTTTTTATTAAATTTAGGAGTGTCACATTATACCTCCCTTAAAAGAATGCTTCGTCCCCGAAGCATATATAATCCTGATGAAATTTTCTAATTAGGACCCTTTTACCGTATATTCCACAAAATGAAACACCAAGCGAATATGCCCATATCTCAAAGGTTTCATCTCACTGTTTCCAAGCCTTTTCTAGACAAGCAACATATTGGAATACACACGACTATTCCGGTCTATTTTAAACCATTATCAAATTCCAACAAAACTCAATACACATATTGGTGACTTGCACTTTTATTATGAAGGTTGAAGCATCACATGATTGGTGGATTTAGTTGTATATTGACATTTTTATACCGTGTTGTTTTCTTATTTTTACTAGCTTTCACATGCTATCTGCTATTATTAAAAGGGTAGCTCTTCCGTGCATCCATGTTGTGGATGTTTTGGTGCATTCAACACATGGCAAAATTTTATTTGATATTTATTCCAGCTCATCTTTTTATTGAAAAAATCCGTTTATTGGCAGCCGGCCAATTTTATTTGCAAAGTGAACCCTATACTAGTATACTACTGTATGCCTTTTTTCCCTGTGAACTCGGCCCCCCTATGGAACTTACGCCCTTTTTCATTGTCGGACTTCATTAGAGCAAAAATGGCAGATTGTACGCTTCCAGAATTGATGGGCGTGCTCAGGATACAAGTGCTCGTCAAATTTCGGTCAATGTGTTCTCTGAAAAGGCAAGTTTCCTTCTCTCTTCAACCGCGCGCTGCATGGGATGGTTTCGTATTCATCGTGCCTCTTCTCTCTCTTTGAATTCATCCAGATATCGTAGTGCGCTTCATCACAACACTGGTAATAAATTCATCCAGGTATTTTTTATTTTTCCCTTTCATTTCGTTCACAGCCTACCTTCACCGAATTGAATCCCCTTTTGTTATTCTTCAGTTTATTGGTACTTAAGGTTATTAGTGTCCTCACATAAGGGATTCCTTCACCAGATATGTATTACAATTGGGAACATAGGACGTTCGATAGTGAAAGGTAAGGAATTTTGTCCCTGTTTTATTTCCATTTCATATCCCCCTATTTCTATTTAATTTTGTGGAGATATGCAATGCTAAGTAGAGCAGAGATTGGGTTCTTTACTGATTTTGATTAAGAAAATATTTTCTGCCTACTTTCTGGTACAATATGCATTGATATCTTCATAAAACTGATCTCTCTACTAATAACTTAGTCGATGATATGCAGTATGTTTGAGTTCTACCTACTTTTTGGTTCTTAAACATCGATGTCTTCATGAAACCAATATCTCTACAGATAATTTAGTAGATGATATGCATTATGCTTGAGTTGTGAATTATTACTCTCCTGCTTACTTTGGATTTTTAAGAAACTAATCTAGTATTTCAGCCTTTTATTTAATAGATGCAGTGATATCATATTAGCCTTTTAAATTATATAGGATGTCATGACTATTTGGTTAAAGTGATTGGGCTGAAATGACATTTATTGTTAAATCTTCTCAAAGTAAAAGGCTAATATTGTTTGGTAAAATCAAGTTCAGCCAAATATTCAAGCCAAAATCTACTTTTTCCAATTATTATGCTTATTCTACTCATAAATAAAGTAGTTTTAATAGGCTACCAGATTGCGTTCCAATTACTATGAAAATAGTTTTAATATGCTACTTTTTCCAATTTTTCCAATTATTATGTTTGGTTAAAGTGATGTTTTAACCTTGTAAATTTAAGTTCTGTTGTATGAATGCAAGGAACCGAGATGGGGCAGAACTTCATTAATGAGAAGTGTGGCACTAATAATTGTGATGCCGAAGGGAAACTTACTTCTAAGGTTAGTAAGCATAGGGGTAATGGGTATGTAACAATTTGTGTTAAACTTGTTTCAGCCGCATCCTTGTGCTTTAGAAACAATGTCATTGTTGAAGCTGGAGTTGTTGAAGACCTGGTTAACCTGATCAAGGATAAATTGTTTATGAACCTTTGTCAGGATGCAAATGCTTTGGGATGAGATGTTTACTTCAATATGATTTTTAAATCTGGGCCTGCATTAGCTTCACATTTAGTTTGTGGCTTGCATTGTTCCGAGTGATGTTCAGGAACCATTGTAGTCAATAAAAATTACATCTTTACAACTGAGGGTCATCCTCTTCCCGTTTTAAACACTTGAGACTTTCTAAGGCTATTTACCAAGCAATCAAACTTCATTTGGCGTTTTGAAAAGAATGCCCACTATTCAGTACAAAGTATGTATGGATAAACTGGTGAAGATTGGTCATCTTAAGAAGCATAGGGAATGGAGGAAGATTTGGTCACTATCAATACCGCCAAAGATTCATACATTGATGTGGAGACTCGGTCAAGACTGTACTGAACAGGAGTCGTCTCAGGGAGAAAGGTATTCCTTGCCTGAATATGTGCATAAACTGTCTTGGAAGCCCGGAAAACAATTGGTATGTTTTTTAGTGAGTCTGGATAGTCACTTGCTGGCAGAAAGTAGGCATGTAGAATACCTTCGAGTTGGCTATGCTCTGGGAGAAAGTTTTTCGATTTGTTCGTGGATGCCTTCACCAATTTACCAAATGAACAACTCTGTACTTTTGCTATGATGGCATGGAGTATATGGAGGAGTAGAAACACTCTTTACTGGGAGGGTAACTATGAGAATGACCAGCAAGTGATATTTCATGGGACAGAAGTCCTGAGAGAAAAGTGTCAAAATGGTACTTAAACTTGTCATATATAGCATAAAGAGTACATCAACTAGCAATAGACTCCCCAGAGTACATAAACTTGACTTTTATGTGTTGGTTAAGTACGTCCGTCACAGAGACGTTTAAAAAAGATGACATGGCTAGAAATGTTGCTGAATTGTTTTACACATCACCCTGTAGTCTTCAATAAAACTAAAACCCTAAGGTTTTACCCGCCTCAACATTTTACGAAGGCATCGTATCTTAAAGATTAAAGAAACTGCATAAATGGGACAAAGGCTGGACGGTGATAGGAGGAGAAAAGCGAGAAACTCAGTGAAGCGATTCCATAATGGAGAATCATAAATCGCAAGAAAGGTACGTTTAGGGTTTGAGCTATCTCTACAATTCATGTTTATGGCCTCTGTGAATTTTATATGGTTTCATGGGGGTACTCGTTTTCCATATTACTGATAATATAGTTCAGATTATTAAAATAGCACCGAAACTGAGTTCTAGATTTCTATTATAATACGTTTTCAATGTTAACTTTATTACATAGTTTCATTAATCAAATATCTATTTTTTCAATAAGTTTTAATTAAACATGGCTGATTAAAATTAGTCTCGAGTAGTAGATTTCACTTGTTACTACTGTCTTCCATTTTCGATCTTTCATGTGATTTGAGTAATGTTGAATAGATTCAGCAAGTACCAAATACCCATTTTAAATACCCTTTGAGATTTTTTTTAATCGGCATAACTACAATTAGTTGATGATGGTGAGATAGTTGCTCTCACTGAACCAAGAAAACGGTATCACTAATGTTGCTAATAATAATATTAACTAAAATAGAGTACCAATAACAGAAAAGTATCACTAATGTTAGCCTTGTATCAGAATGTTTCTTCTGCCCTCCTCACCTCCAAACTAATAATGACAAGTATGTAGACTATTAAGAAATATGAAATTTCATCGAGGCAGAAGCCGGTCTACTATTTGAGGATGAGATTAACACTAAAAATGAAGACGATGAGGAGTTGCAGCAAGGTAGGAGACTGTTAAGGCAGTTAGTGACAAATGATAAAGGACTCGGAAGAAGAAAGGGTAACAAAGAAGTTAAGGAACACATCAATGAGAGTGATAAGGGGTTGTCTTCGGATGGAGACAGATATGAAACAGATTACTTTGGTTCAAGTGATGAAGGAAGTTACAAGACTTGTTCTGATCAAGAGGAAGACGAATATTTCAGAAGGAAAACAAGGTTTCCACCTTTTAGTCCATTAAAGGTGAATATGAATCAGGTAAATGTATATCAATGATGTGTATGTTTTATTTTTTAAAGTTATAAATGACATTTGTGTCTTATTCAATTTTTAGGAAAGCAACAATGCAAGTGAACCATCACAAGAACCAACAGATCCTTCAAACAGTTTATTGCAACCATATTTCAAGGATAATCAAGAAATGAATAATCCAGGTAATGACAGTGTGTTTCAATGGAGAGGCAACAATACGATCAGTGCAAGTCGCCTATTGTCACAGAGGTTAAAGTTTAGAAACCAACATGTTGCTGAAAGTGCTGGAGCTTCTAGGAAAAGGCATATGACAGAAATGGAAGCTTCTGAACAAGTGGACAGTGGTGAGCAAAGTGCGATAGCAAGAGACAGATTCAATGAACTATATGATTCAATGGAAAATCTTGGACCCTACATGTCCCAAGTTATTGACCCCACGCAAAAGTAGCTAAAAGTATTTAAAATACTACTTTTTTTGTAATTTACCACTTGTATTAGCAATTGGTTATTGAAGGTGCAAAACTGTATCCAACACCTTTTTTGTAAGCTACAAGTGACTCAAGTAGCAGCCTGTTTTGTTAGATACATATGCTATGTAGTACTTTTTTGTTTAGATACATTTTGAATGTTCTGTAACTCCTTTTTTGGAAGCAGGAAGTGATAATGTTATTGAATTTTCTTTTATTCTGGGATGAAGTGTTCTATTATTCTTTCATGTAGTGAACTTTGCATGTGAGATCATTTTAGTTACAGATGGGATGTTATTTTGTTCTTTTGTTCTTTTAACTAGTTTTTTTAAGTATGAGAGTGTACTTATCTTCAGTCCTCATTGGTGGCCTGTTATTGGATTTGCTACTATCCCTTACTCTCAGTGTTATTGGATTTGCACTACCACTGAACATTATTATAGGTGGCAAGCTCTTATTGGGTTTTGTGACTCAACTCCTGGAAGACTGTATAAGAGCTTTTGCAATTTGAGTCATAATGATGATTTCACATTTTAATATATGCTTTGTGAGTAAGTGCTTTTACAACCTCCTACTGGGTAAAAATATCTTTACAGACATGATTGGCTAAAAAGAAAAGGATTGGAACATTTTTCTTGCCACTGTTATATACAAGTCTCTTTCTTTTTTAGGATTTCAGAGTTGAATGTTGTTTTGTGCTGAATAAAGTTGATGTCTTGCCAGTCTTGGTGTTTGGGTAGAATTATATTGATGCTTTCTTGATTTCTGTTGTCAATGTTAATCCCTTTCTTATTGCGTTGCATGTCTTTTGTCACTTGTGATTTTCAAGCTCAATATTTGCTTGCTAGTTGCTAAATGCAGCCTGTCAACCTAATGTGAACACACAGTTCACAACAACGTAAGCATGCTTCTGTTAGTTTGTGTGTGTGCTAGCTTGATGTTATTATGTTGACATCACATGTCCTCACTAATCTTCAAGCCTGGTAGGTCATGATAAGGAATGTTGATTTATTTTTCTTACCTAAACAAACTAACATTAATAATAAAACCAGCAACTTCTCCAACAACAAAAAACCAACAACATTGCTTTTAGCAGAACACTCAATTAATTGATCTAAAAGTCAAATAACATAAGAATTCATTAATTCGAATTGCAAGTTACATCTCCAGAAACTCAGTGAACAATCAGCAAGTATACTCATCAACTCACACACTACTTACCTACTCAAACACATCATCAATCCAACTATTACAGAACACAACACCCAACATGTCTTGTTTTTTTTTCTCATTCCCTTTTGTCCATAAAGCTGAATTTGTAGGGTGTTTATCTTCCTCAATAGACCAGGTATACTAGCCTTGCTCCTTGGACACATCTCAGGATCAATTCATTCAAATGTGTTGCATCCACCATAAACCTAAAAATCAATAAACAATACACAGAATTATCACAAAATTAAACAAAAGAATAACATATATAATAAACCGGAAAATATGACAAATCAAAGAAAGATAAGGTCAATTCCAAGTTTCCAACCAAAGTAATATCTTTAAATACATACCTTCAACCTTGTAATTGTAACAAAATGTCTCCCAGGATTGTCATCTGTCCATGAAGTCAATATTTTCAAAGGATTTCCACAAGCACAATACCCATAAGACATGTTTCCTCTACAAACGATGTAAAATTAAGACCAAAGTTTAAGTCGTAGAAGAGAAAGATGAAATGAATAACAAGAAGAAGATAAAGTGAAGAAGAAAATAAAACAAAAACTATACCAGCAGCGTGGAAGAACAAAGAAAGCAAAGGAAGAAACGGGAGGAGATATGTAGCGTACGTAGAGGATGAGAGAAGACAACAAAAGTAGGAGAAGATGTAGTGAAGATACATAAAGAAATTAGGGTTGAATAGCATACGTATAGGAGTGATTTGCTGATCTGGATAGTAACAGTACCAAATAAACGGCTCTTTACTGCCATCTCAGCTGCTTTTAACGACATAGTTAAATATGTACTAAACCGACACATAAAAGTCAAGTTTATGTACTCTGGGGAGTCTATTGCTAGTTGATGTACTCTTTATGCTATATATGACAAGTTTAAGTACCATTTTGACACTTTTCTCGAAGTCCTGAATAGCCTAGTAAGGTTTATTGGCAGGCCTCACACCAAATCGTGTGCTAGCTTAGCTGCTGTAAAATGGATCCCCACCACCTTTCACGTACTATTCACTTTTATCCCCCCGAACTTTACATTTTCATCTGTAAGAACTATGTTGGAAGCTATATGGAGTGTTTCTTTTTAAAGATTGATTGATAGTTTTCACCATGTGCTGATTCAAATGTCATATGCCTTGTGATTCTTATTACTAGTATTATGGAGTCGCTGGAATCCTTGCAAAAACTTTTTGATTGATAAGATTTAAGATATCAATGCCTTATATTATTGCCATGGGCTTAGCTAATTTACATCCAAAGACCTTCACAACACAGACACACACACACATATTGGCTCTTTGCTGAGGGAATCTTACTGTTGTCTTCAAGCATCAAACCTATTTTGATCTCGAGTTCTTTTTTTATTTGCTTCATTTGTTTTTTAATTCCTCAAGTTTGATCATCTATTCATCTCTAATCAATTAATTATATAGAGCTACTTGTTCTTATATAACTTTGATTTGTTAATCCTAACGTGCCCTAAGATTGTAAATTGGTTTATTGGCTGGAATTAGATATTTTTTGAATGGTTAGATATTTTTCGCTGTTGTATGTGGCCGTATATTTCAAAATAGCGTTGGATTCATTTACCTAGAAATAGTTTACCAATAGTAGCTTGATTTATAAAGTACATTTGGAAGTTATTTATTAAATGCTGAATATCCCAACTATTCCAATTCATAATTGGGAGTTGGCAATTGGGAAATCTTTTGGTGCACTTCAGTTGGCAGGATATTATTGGTAAACTATTCCAACTCATATAATATGACATCTATCAAAAATATATCTCAAATATGTTTTAATCTGCAGAGCAAGTCCAATTTTTGCAGAGAAAGTCATTATCTAACCAAGTTTTCCGATTTTACTTATGTGAAAGGAATGGAAATAAACCACAGGTCCACAACTAGGGGCCAGGGGGTTTCTGGTTTTTCTTCTGCAAAAGCAAAGAGTCTAGGCAGAGAAATGAAAAGCCGGGCCTTCCAATTTGCTTTTAGTATCCAAACATGTTCTCTATCAAAGTTCAAACGTATAAAGGGTTGGTTTGCAACCACTTTTAAAAAAACATTTCTCAACTTTTGGCTTTAAAAAAACACTTCTTTTACCAAACACTACAACTTTTATTTTTCTCGGCTTTCGTGTCAAAAGTGTTTTTACTTTTTCTATCACACAAAAAAAACTTATTTTACCAAACACTATCAACTTTTATTTTTCAAAATCACTTTTTTCTCAAACACTATCAACTTTTATTTAGGGAGTGTTTGCAATTGCTTGTGCTTTTTAAAAGTGATTTTTTTAATAGATTATTGGAAAAGTGATTTGTAGTAAAAGTTGGTAATGTTTGGGAATAGAAGTGATTTTAATTAAAATGTAAAAGTTGGAGTATTTGATAAAAAAGTGATTATGATGGAATAATTTTTTCAAAAGTACAAAATCACCCTTTAAACTTTTGGCCATTGGGAGGGTATATGAATAAAGGGGGGGTTAAGGGATTTATTTGCCATTATTATTAGTCATAAAGTTGGAGGTAATTACAAGTTTACCTAGAAGCTATTAGAAGTTGGTATGCTCTAGTTTTTAGATTTTGACTTTAAAGCACTTTTTTTAAGCAAAAGTTAGGATTACCAAACACCTTTTTTGACTTTTTTTTATCTAAAAGATCCAAAGCTCTTTTTTTTAAGCAAAGGAAAACACTCCCTTAATCACTTCTCCCCATTTCATAAAAAAAACACTTTTTTAAAGTAGAAGCAGTTGCAAACAGACCCAAAATGATCCAGTAGCATTCAAAACTTAATGGTGCTTCACAAAAAAAACAAGGATGTTGAGGTTTATTCCTTCAACCCTTGGACCCAACACGTAAGCCCAAAGATTTCGAGTGGGGTGAGTGTATGAATGTCTAGCCCAACAACTATTAGATGAATCAGGAGACAACAGTGATAGCAGGCAATGTAAATAGGTATTATTAACTCCGTAATAACTCCCCTAAGTACAATCTACTCGCTAAACAAGGCACGTCGGCCGTTCGTCTTACAAGGCACTTAGAAATGCTGCAAGTAAGAATGCTGAAGCTAGTATGCTAAGAATAGAAAGTTGCCAACCCTTTTTAATGAAATAAATGCTTCTATTTATACCCGCCAATGGGCAGGTGGCTGTACTGACGTGGCAGCCTGTGGACCGCTGGTGTCCCAACTACCAAATCTTTAGCATTAAATGCACTTCCCGCCAGAATCTAGGTTTCCCGCCGGATCAGTGGGGACGTTCGTCCACCCCGGAAGTGAGTTGGATTGCTCCAAGTGACCCTTGAGGGATATCGGCTGTTCGTCGCCTGGCCTTAATAGATACTCACCATGTGCACTGGGTTTTCCCCGATGACCACAGGCTTGCTCCGGGGACGTTCGTCGCCATCCCCGCTGGCCCGTGGTTCTGCTCTTTGTCTCTGCACAGACGTTCGTCGGAATGAGCTGCTGGGCCTAGGCCTGTCAATGGGTCGGGTCCGGGCCGGAATGTAGTGTTCCAGACCCGGACCCGCTAAGTTAATAATGGACCCAGACCCGACCCGTTTACCCCGGCGGGTCTGAAAATTTGGACCCGGACCCAGACCCAACGGGTCTCGGAACCGGGTCGGGTAGACCTGCCAAGTATGATACCGCTATAAATTTTGTGAAAATAACAAGACCTCTATGTGAAATGTAAAGAAAAGTGTGCAAACTAAAAAGCAAAATATATCCTCACATTTTTTTTAAAAAAATCAAGGTTTATCATGTTATTACTTTTATCCAATAAAGTATTGCGTATAACTCAACAATCTCTGTCGCTTTTTTCTCGTACATAGAGCTCGTAGCATAAACTTCAAATTAAGTCACAAAAGATGTCTTGGACTATTGAGAGTATAAAAACATATTGTATTGAGTGTATGATAATGATATAATAATATTAATAATACACATTTATCACTATGAATAAACGGTCAAAATGGATATTAATTTAATACACACACTAATAGGTATGTA